CACGTGCGTCTCAGGGAAGCAAAGGTCGCCTTTGGTCCTCGATTAACCCCCTATCGGCCACCTAGGGAGGCCCACGTAGCCTTGCGGCTTACCCGCTATCAGGATCCCTCATATGAGGAGGTCCGTGCAGCGGAACACTATGGTCACGCAAATCCCGACGACCTTTTGTCAGACTGCTTTTCTCCGCTGCTTCCAGTATTTTCTTCGGCTTGTACCGCTGTAAATCTTCCTGCAAAGCTCTACTGCAGCTGGCATTTATTACTAGCCATGTTAAACGTGTTGCAGTAGGATCAAGCTTCAGTTTCTTTCTCTTTTCGAGCATCTCCTTAATAGTAGTGGAGATGCGATCCGATCTTCTTGTTTGAGGAACTGAAGCGAATTCGGCACAACTTTTCAGTCCTTCGACAAGCAGCTCATAGTTTTCGGTCAGCTCTTCTTTAATCCGCCAGTCACGTTTGGACAGAACTTCGTCCAGAATGTTTTCGTCGTATGCAGCTAGACTTTTTCTTCGTGGTCGATGAAGAGAGTTCTTTTCCAGCTTGCGGCTGAATCGAATTTTCGCGCGAAGTAGGCGATGATCGGAACCAGTATAGAATGACGGAACTACCGATGTGTCAAGTAGGCACCATCTTCTGTTTGTTAGAATGTGGTCGGTCTCCACATGAGTCATGCCGTTAGTAGACTCCCATGTCCTTCGGGGGCTTTCTTTCTTCTTGAAAAACGAGTACCGATGGAAGAGACGTGCTGCAGACAGGAGTCTTACAAGACGGTTTCCATTCTCATTTCTTTTCCATGTTTCAAATTTCCTTAAGCTGTATTCATGTTCGTTAGACCTTCCTGTTCTTGCGTTGAAGTCTCCGACAATAAATTTATGATGTGCTTTATCATTGCGAATAACTTCCTCCAACTGATTGTAGAATGCATCCAATTCGTACTCATCAGCTGCGTCGGTCAGTTAGTAGCGGTTGAAAGCTGATTGAGCTTCTGAATAGAAAGGTTGAAATATTTCTCGAAATGAAAGACTGTTCTGGTTAACGAACATCTGCTGTACATTCCAGTTCAGTGTCGAAGTTCACTCGCGATTCACGATAGGGTAGTAAATCTCGGGAAGTGGTCACGGTATTTAATTAGGCTTGAAGGTATTTAGTAATTACAATTTAGCTTTTTTGGATGCTTTATCCTCGGAATAGTTACTATTTCTTCCTATTACTGCATCTTTCTATAGTAAGGATCATATCTACTGTTTCTCAAGTTGCTTGGCAAATGTCATAGTACGTAAATATTTTGATCCCATGCTAAAGAACTTCGTATAGTGAATTCCTCTATCAAAATAGTGAATTCTCTATCTACCTAGCAGATCCTTTCAATAGGTCCATGGAGACGGGCTTTTCCACAACGCCACTAGACACAGCATCTCGTGGCCATCGGTCACACCACCAGGCATGCTGTTGGGTACGTCTCATTGCTTGGGGAATGGACCGCGCGACCCGGTCGTTGACGCTACCACAACGACTCGCTTGAACGTAGCCACGCCCGATTTGCACCGCCATTTTTTTTTTGGCTTGGCAATCTCTATCGGGTCTTACGTTCGACTTCATTGTCTTATCCTTACGCCAGGGTAGCAACTGCTTTATTCTTTGTCACAGATAATTTCAGAGAAATTTCTGGTGGCTGCTTAGATTTATACGTCATTGGATGGGCAGCTACCAAAGGGGACACGGTGGAGGCAGAAAAGATAGCAAAGAATCCGGTACGTCTTCCAAACTATTGTTCATCAGTGTCGCAACGTAATGAATTTAATTAGGTTCCCAATATTTTCCTATGAAATGTGACACTATTTCATTTCTAAGCTTAGGTCCGTTCAGTTGGTTCTCCTGACCATGCGTCAACACCATTTTCGTGTTTATGTGATGTTGTTGTCAAACTTGTTTGGTTTAACTTCCTCAAATGGTTGAATCTTTTCAGGAACGCATCTTTCAGCACCCAGTGTTTGCTAGCATCGTCGAAATGGACGAAAGTAGTTTAAAATTTCGTCCAATACCGCATAATGTTCCAAAATTTGTATATGAAAAGATTCTTCGAGCTGGTCAGAACGTTAGAGCACGGTATGTTTCATTTCCGAGTTCAATTTTAGTGTTCCTGTCAATTCATCATTCCAGAGACCAGCATTCACTTTCCCTCAGCTGACATCATCAGGTTGCTGGGTTCTTTATAAGTTGATACGAGGTTTTTGTGAAGCGATTGCTTCACAATATCTATCGTTTTGTCGTACTTCACTTTCTTCAGTGCCATATTAGTTACTTCTTTCTTTTTAAGAGATGAAACGTGGTAATTTGATCCCATATAGTTCACATGGGATGTGGAGTCACTCAATTGTGATAGTACATTTGGTCTCGTAGTTCATTACAAGTGTTCCTCAGGTGGCAAAATTCGCCAAAACTTCATTCACTGTGAAATAGTTATGAGTAATAATGATGTTATCGAAACCAAATTCGTGGTATCTACGAATTATTTCCAGCTTTGAATGCATCTGGTTGATGATAGACGGAGTTACTTCTGCCCATATCGTAGATGATTGTCTTAGGAGAAGATCGCCCTCTTCTGCAATCCTGTTCTCTCCTCTGTCTATCTCTGGTTTTTCCCATTTCATGATCTGCCCATTTGTTTTCTCCTTTCGAAGTGCCTTCCTGTATATCTCGAAGATGGGAAGCATTTGATCTATTGTGACCAGAACTATGCATTCTATCTAGGTTGTATGTGTCAGTTGTAGTTCAGAAAATATAATTCAAGACCTATTTTGTATACTAGAGGGAAACGTTGAGTAAAAAATGTGATTGTGGAGTTTTGAGTCCATCACTTTTTTGATGGCTTCTCTGGAATAGTTGGATACGGATGATAATGCTGCTGCTTTCGTGTAATTTCTCTCTCATTTCGTTCTTTGAATTTGTAAAAACCCCCCATATGGGCACGTACGATGTGCTCTCTGTGCAGCAACTTCCATCTGTTATGTATATTATGGTAGTGAACTGCGTACTCTTCCGATGTATGCGCAGTTCTACCCTTCAGACCGCTTTATCGAATTCTTTACGCATCGTCTGTGCTTCACTGTTATTCCTCGAAAGTATAGTTATGTGGTTAGCAAAGGAGGACTTGACAGGAATTTACCAACAACGTGTATGCCGTTCTCGTCACAGTGGAATGACTTCGTTATCCACTGCAGTGCGGAAGTGAAAAGTGTTGATAGGATTATGTCGCCTTGTTCGACCCGCGTTGCTATATTTGTGAGTAATGCTGATGTTTTACTCACAACTTTCCTATAGGGATTTTTAAAGGGTCTGCTGGAAAGCCGTATTCTTATGGTGCTGCTCCAATAACAGTCAGCTACGGTTCTCCTGTAGGAACGCTTGATTTCTTAGTCGACCGGCGAAAAGCACAATTTTAACGGTTCATGTTGATTCGGCAATGTGTCCAGTGCTCACTAAGCATTCAGTCCCTCCACGATCTGCAAACTGGAACCAAAGTTGTCTGGGAAAGTTGCACGAAGAGGGTTTTGCAAGAGGCAGGTGGTATTCCCAGGAAAGTCCACTAACTCCAGAAGCAGTTTGGATGTGGTCCATGCAGTACAATCTATAACGAAGTTCAACATTCGGGGATACCGGCGGCTGCGATGAGCCGTTGAACAATTAGAGTGGTAAGAAGGTAGTGGGTGAAGCGCTCGGCGTTGATGAACCTCTTCGGGATTTGGAATGCATTACATAGCGCTGGTGGGATCACTGAGATGGGTGAACTCATATTTACCTAGTACAGGGACTTAAGGAGGCCTGTTGATGCTTCAAATTCACGTTTTTAATTTCCCAGACAACTTTGGTTCCAGTTTGCAGATCTTGGAGGTACTTTGCGCACCGACAGGAATCTTTGTGGGCAGTGGAAAATCTCTTCCAAAAGGCAGTTCTTTGTTAATTATGAACTTTAGAAAATACATTTAGCTCACCATCTTTAACCACTTATCATAGGCAAGCTAGCGATTGGATATAGGAAGCTTAGCAAAAGAAAAACATGCAGCATAATAAACACAAATCATGCTAATTTCAGTGAAGGACAAAGAAATGCCGCTAAAGCGGAGAAACTTTCAAGACCGAATAATGTTTATAGGATGAAAGTTGTTAGTTTTCTTTTCTAAGGCAATCTTTATAAATTCAGTATTATCAGAGAATTTTTCCAGGCTTGTAATTTTCTCATGGAACTCATTGATAGAGAACGACATTCTCAGGACAAAGACAGCGTTTGTTCTTTTCTTATTCTATATTCAACTTCTTTTTGACGTGGTGAAGCTTTAATTCTGATTAGATGATCTGTAATATGTCGTTATGGTTTTTTTTTTCTGGACCTTATGGCGATCATATTTCTGGTTTTCATGTTCTTCCGGCAGATGAGGAATAAGGTGTTGTTTAGTTGTGGAGGAATTTGTAGCGTCTTTGACATCAGAGAGGAGTGTTAAACGCATTTTAAGGCCGGCCATATACTTCCATTCAAAAGTGGATGGATGCAGAGGGCGAGCTTCTCGTATTTGCCATGTTAGATTGTTCTATGCTACCCTTGCACACATATTCGTATATTCATGGGTGTGGTGTATTCACGATGAATCCTGCACGTTCAGCAGGTTGCCTTAATGAACATGTTGGAACATATTATATGGGGTGGAGTTTTGATGTTTCTTTCTTTACCATAATCAAACCACATGTCTCCATCGGATGTGTATGCGCTACTTGCTAGCATTCCCAGTTCCCATAACATAGCCCAGATATTCATGGATGCCATTTTACCACACCGTGATAGTATACAGCTTGATGTTCATATTCCGCGAATATAGAATTTTTACACGATGAGAGGAGTCTTCACTGATGCATACTCGTTGCCCAAATGGGAGTATAAGCAACACAGACGATGTTCTATGGCTTTTTTAGGTCTCCTGGCAGTCGATCCAGAAACGATACGAAAACATGGTCTCCGAAGTCGACGAGCGTGACGAAGATCTGATGAACAAGTACAAATGTTTCGGATTAAATTTTACTGAACCTACTCTTAACAGCGAAGTATGTACACGGAATTCCATGCATCCTGGATATTCTAAATTCATGTAGTTGGAATGTAATCCATTTCAAAGGGTATACAACGATTTTTTATCAAGGTCGTTAAAAAACTAACTTGTCGGAGCTCAATCACGAAGGCACTGAACCAAGCAATATTCTATGGAATTCACTATGATAACAGCTCGAATGTGCTTATGGTTGGACTCAATGAAAACGCAAGTAAGTATTTTATGACAGTGTAATATGGGATTCCTATTTTATTCGTTCACACGATGAATAGATGTTGCCAATCGTTGCAGCTACTCTACTTCCTAACTCGAATATTTCAAGTGCTAACCTAATTAGCTCTTTATCGATATAAAAGCGAAAAGCGGCTAATCATTGAGGAATGAATGCTCTTGCTATCTTAATAATTTCTTCACTAGAGGCAGTTTCTACGATACTTCAGCCTCTGAACAGCAGTTTTTATGTATTACTAACTGTAGAAAGTAGTTTTCCACTCAGCGCAGTCAGTTTGACACCAGTGTTTAGCAAGGCTATCGAATGAATGCACATATGCCAAATGAAAAAAGTCATGAGTTAGTGTAGAAGGCCGGACGTAAGATGGTCACATGTGATTAATGTTCTTCATTATGTGTTAAAATTCCTTTGTATCGAGGTAGTTCAGGACTCTACTCAGAGGAAGAACTGAAGAAAGCTGCTGAAGCTTGCGAAGCTACTGCATCATCCAACGCTGCTAAGAGTGTGTATGGTAGACCGTCTAATCCCAATCAGTCTTCGGTCGTGGAACCGCGAAGTAGCTGGCACCCTGAGAACGTAAGGTTTTTCCATGAACGGTCTTTTCCTTGTGTGTTGTGAAAGTTTTGGAGTCTAAAGTCGGTCTAACATTAATTTTGTTCCATTTTCCATTAACAACTCGCATTGTGGTATCTGCAAGAGTAAAATCATTCAGTCTGTTGATGTAAATCTTATGGCACTGGTAGATAGAAAACTAGCTGAGAGGAACGCAAAGCAAAGGTCTCCGTGGTGCAGAGTGTAATGCGCGAGTCCCAGAAGGGAAATCGTGATTCGATCTGGCCCGTGTTCCAAGTTTTGCGAACGTCTCAGAATCGTTGAGGTTGAATCCATGTTTAATTCTTACGATTGTTGTGCTATACTTTAGACATTTCTATATGGATCGGGTTTTTCCGACGTGACCAACGATGGACAAAATTCAGGAAGAAGCAATTTAGAAGTGGTAGTTTTATAATTGTACACCTTTTTTAAGTACTTAAACACCGAATGTTATCGATTGCTTCGAGCTTCACTAAGACTTCGATAATATTCGATGTCTGTAAATCACGCGTGAACGTGGTATCTGCTGTCGTGTCTGAATTTAATTTTTGAGATGTCATCTATATTTATTTTCGCGTCGTCGTTCCAATGTTGATGAAGCGTTATACGTCACAACTTTCCCGTTTCAAGACGACTCCAGTAGTGATAGTGGTTCAGAGGTTCCTAGGAATGAAACAGGTGTCTATACTACGGATGAAGAAAAGGAGGTGGTATACATTCACTACTTCAATATTGAATCGATGTCATTGTATCTTTTGAGTATTAACTGAAAATAGCAGTGAGATAAAACTGCACTTTGATATCGTGCGACGACTAAGGCTAGCACTGTTGTACTCCATTCGCGACTACGTCAAAATTTATCTGGCGGACGTTAAATATGCTTAATTCGGCTGTGGTGTGCATTGAACGCATGCTCTCCGTTGTATCCCCAGAGATAGTAACTCAATGTTTTTTTGTGTTTTTCATTATCTAAACGCGTTATTTCCACCTATTTTCACTTATTTCTATGGCTTTTCATGTTCTGGATATTCTCTATGTCGTTTCTATCTTTACATTTGTGGAACATATCCAATTCTTGTTTGACAAAAAACTGTATTGCACTGTTCAATGGTGATAATATCAGCTCTTGGTAGAACATATGTTTAGTATTTCCTCGCATTTGTATATTTTTCATTTCCATCTATATCCGGACACGAAGTCGTTATGAGCTCGTAAGCGATTTGAAAGTACAATGCATTCACGAGGGCGAGCTGTGTTATCTCTTTGTTTCAAAATGTCTTAGTACATTCTTCGCTAAGAACAGTCTGCTTACCTGCAGGGAAAACTACAAGAATTTCCCATATGCTATTAACTTTGTTCAATAGCTTTTTGTGGTTGACGCCTCACACATCTGTTTAAGAGAAACCATCATCTAGATGAAAGAAGCTAACAAAAAATTGCGTTAAAATGGACATTAGGGAAGGAAATGCATTGAAATCAACTCATGCTGTAGAATTTGTCCCTATGGTTTTTACTGGTTTCGCTGCATGCGTTCGCGAATGGGTTACGGTTAAATCTTTTACTTTACGTTTGAAATTTTTTGAAGCGCACAGATGAAATTCCTCAGGAACCTCTGACAGCAGACGTTCGTGATCAAAGGCATGTACCTACGTTATCGTCGAATTTATCTGTTGGGACAGTGGAGGTAGTTTTTCACTATGATGTGGGCGTTAAATTCTTTTATATGTTGCTGTGTTCTGTTTCAGTCCGCCGCCATAGATAACTCCATGGGAACACGCATGTTCCAACGAGAATATAATGAAGACAGTATGCCTGTAATGGTGGAACCTTCAGCACGTTCTTCTGCACGAAAAACTGATTTATCCAACCACACTTTTGCACAGCAAAAATCCGCCTATCGAACTCCAGATCATCGTTCGGCTTTTGGTGTTTATAGAGCTGCATCGAATTCTAAAGAGGTGATATTACTCCTTTACTTTTCTTTACTCGTCTAAAGTATGTGTTTATAGCAAGAGTCCAATTGGGAGAAAATCTATGATGCTCGTGTGCAACATGCAGCAAGCACATCTCAGAACTCGGCAAAAGTAAGTGAACTGTACGAACGAGGAAGAAATGGAGGGTGGCAACGGGTCAGTTACTCGTATAATATTTTCACTTATGCTCACGAATCATCTAAAGCCATTTTGTTCTACAGGAGTTTGGTCGTCGCAGTTCCAGCGAGCGGTATCAGGAGGGGCAGTGCTCAAGGTACATTTTGAATATTGTCAATAAACTTTGCCACTTTTTAAATCATCACTGTTGAATAGTAATTACATTCACCACACCATAATCACTTAGAAGGTCATTTAGATTCCAATTCAGTAACTACTTTCTGAGGTGTAGATGATTCCCTTGCGTATCCGTATCGAACTTGAAATCCATACTTTTTTGAAATGGGCAATTTTAACGAGCAACTGTCGCGATTTTATCTTGGGTCTGCTTTTGATAAATCTCTCGATGAGAAAACAATCAGTTATGGAAATCTTCGTCACTCCTTTCGAGCCGGTTGTAATTTGGCGAGGAGCATAGGTAATATTTTGAATGGAATGAAACTTTCAGTTTGCAGTGTATTCACTCTCAATGACAATACAGGTAAACAGAGCACAGGTTTCTGTAGCAACAATCTTTCTTATTTGGACGGATTAGTAAAACAGCGAGTCTGTTTTTTTTTTTGCAGAGAATTGAAAGCGATTAATTCTGCTCAGCCTATTTACCATCGTTCTAGTGGTGTTTGCAACCGACCATCTTCACAAATGAGTATATATGAAACAGACAGGTATGTCCTCTATGGAATACTATGATATGTTATTTCAAATGCTATGTTCGGTATCTGAAAGAGTTTGCAAAAAACAATATGTTCCAGTTCGCCACGAAGCTTTCAAAATTCGTCGCTTTCTGATATGAGGACGAACAGTCGTTCGTCGAGTTATCAGTCCGTGAGTTTAATATGTGTTAATATCCCGTTATTAATATTACAGCAAGTGTTTGCATTTATGAGCGTCTTCATGAGTGTGGAAAGTATGTGTGATCCTTTTTTGAACGCAGCCTAATTGTTTGAAATAAGAATCAATGGAACTTCAGTGTTTTTGCGAATAGCATACTAGTTTGCTTATTCTAGTGGCATGGAAACTTCTGAAGTTCTGAAGGCGGCCAGTTCTTCGAGCGCATTTTTTTGCTTTAGGCGTCAGAGGTTTTTCTCAAGATGTAGGTGCCGAGGTGCTTCAAAAAGCGATAATTAGATGGCGGTCCGTTGAGTGTGGTGAGTGAGGCGGAGTTTCGTAACCCAACTCGTTTTGCCTTTCCACTGTAGAAGATAGTGCAACATGTGGACAATAGAAGTTAAGCAGAAGTTTTGCACCTTTTCTGTTCTTCGGTGTTCTATAGATGAGCTGTAGTTTTTGGTGAATATGCTGAATTGACTTTGCCATGGTTAAGAAAGGCGTAGTAAACTAAATCAGCTGCAGAGCACCACGCACTTGCAATAATCTCCTTTGAATGCAAATTTTTCTTTGAAAGGTGTTAAAGTGCTTCGTCTTTCTCCAGCCCAATTTAACGTTCTTAATTGTTGTTTAGCATCCAATTTTTGTCGCATACAATCAAGAAATGGATTGTCTTTGTAAACTAAGCGAAGAGTAAACTTAACAACAGTAGTCTTACTGCTTCCCATTCAGTTCATGCTGAGCCCATTTACTGTGTTTTTTCACTTTACGATGCGGCCATCTAATCGGTTATGCCCACGTAAAGGTTTCTCCGGTTTTAGTTTTCAATTACCTTCAGTATTAATGAGTTGGAGGAGAAATACGTTGTGAACTGTCAACAGCATAATAATATCCTTATTTTCGTCTTTCTATTGCAACACCGTTACCACGCTCCAGTTCGGTTTTCGTTCACAACCAGCTCCCAAATGTCAGTAAAAAAAATCGCAAAAATCTCTCGCTTCGTGCACCGACCCGTCACATTATAAGTTTCTTCATTGTCACTCGCGATGAGAGGGCGACCGGGAGCCCGAACTTGAAGTCGTCGTTACCTGGCGTGGTTCAATAATTCGCTGTTTTTTCATTTCCAATTGTCATGGTAGATCGTGATTGCCATATGAAATAGTTGATTACAAGAAATGCTATAGCACCTTCATAAGTAGCAAAATCCTTCCGAATGTTGACAACATTGTGTTTAGCAGGTAAAGTGTGCCAAGTATTGCGTGTATTAGCGGATTTATACATTTGAAGTAAGTAAGTATACATGGGGATGGATAAAGCAAATCTTTTTCTGTTAGATCATGATGTTATCAATACTATATGTCCTCTAGCTGTTGAGAATTTGTCCCCTGTTGTCGAAAAAAGCAGAATTTGGCATCTTTACGTCGCGGACGAGTTCACAACTTCTTTTTGCTCTAAGCGAAACCAACGTTGGTCGTGTATGTGTTAATTTTCCTTAGAGTGCCAAGATAGCCCTACTGCGATGTTCTCAGGTCGTCAAAATTACGTTGTCACTGGTGGTTGATTTTTTGTAGATCGGAAGGACGTTTTTCGCTTCGAGGGCCGGTTCTTTCCAAGACAACAGAGATTCCTGTGACCACAACGAATCCTGGGTTACTTGGCCTGTGCTGCTCGTGGATGATATAACAATCCGATGCTCACCCAATTTTTTGGCCGGTCCTTTCCATTCACCGTAACGTCTAGCTCACCTAGCATCAGACGTACAAAACATGTAAAGGCGAAATTCTTAGAATATGAATCCTAGCAGGTTGATTTGCTCAATAGTTAGTTGCTGGCATGGTTTTTTAGGCATAACTACGCCGCTATCGTCTTATCTCTCTGCGTCTTTCCGAGTTTTGTAGGTACATTGGCTAACTTGATTTCACTCATGATCATGGTATGTACCAGTCAGCGTCTGCTTACTAAGCGTTACTGGACTGGAGAATTTCTTATCATCCTCGTGTAACATCATTCTTACTAGATGAAAAATCCATTAGCTAAATTAATGCGATTCATGGGTGGTGAGGTTTCTAATAATAGTGTTAGTTGTATAAAGCAATAATTATGAGTAGTTTCTTGATATTTCATCATAAATCGTGTATTGCACTTAGTATAATCTAATTTTGACCTGAACAGATGCTTACTGTAGTATGCGTTGAGATACATTAAAAACCCTTTCGCACTTATAAACATTTTTAGGATCAAAACGCTACTTTACGGGAGTCAACGTTGAGCTCTGAAGAAAGGGTTTGCTTACGCATGATTCGTGACTTCGCTTATGTGTATCGGAACCCAGCCATTCATGGTTTTCGTACTGTAAGTTTTTAAACGTCACATATTTAAATAGAATGAGATTATAATGACGCTGATAGTCTTTGTTTACAGGTGGAAAATGTCGTGAATTTGTTCCCCACAAACAGCATTGAATACTGGGTTCGACTTATCCAGTCTCATCTGCAAGAAGTAGAGATTGTTACGCTTGACAATATGGTATGGTAGCAACTGGGTTTCGAAAAATATCAACGCTTCTTCAAATGTCTATTAACACATATATGACCGTAATAGTCATATAGTAGCCTTCTATGGCCAGAAATAATTTGACCATTACCCTTGAAATAAACATATCATATTTCGTAGAGAACATTACCAGTTGGAATTATGAGTTTAAAGTCTAACGGTCTTTACCTCAAAGACTAGTAGTTGTTCCCACTTAACGACGATGAAACTCTGATTTTTTGGAGCTCACAAGACATATCCTTCCCGTTTTTTGTTAAGGCGTTTATGTTTGAAGAAATGAATTGATTGAACAACGTGGATTTCTTTCAAGTAGAACGCATTTATGCACCACATTGTCGCGCTTGCTTTGAAGTTTAAAGTGCAGTTTAAAAACTGCTTTTGTACCAGCAGTTTCCTAGAACTTTTTAAAAGGAAGCCCACGAGCTGTAGGGAAATGTTTCCTCTTTAAATCTCCCAAACGGCCAAGAATTTAAATGTTCTGTTTGGCTAAAAGTTGTGGGCAGCTGTCGAAAAACCAGCATTATCGTGAATGTTTTAAATACCATTTTCGTCTTACTCTTAAAGCTTTTTGTTGTAAATGACTCATAATTTAATATTTTCTTTCCTAGTAGACGTTTATAAATGAAGCATTCCTTTATAATGCTGAGATATTTGTAAAACTCCGGACCGCAAGTGTCTGCGGTGGGGAACGAACGCGCTATTGTCCTACGTAAACGCCAGGCAGGCGAAACGAAGGACTCGCATGGTGTGGTGGTGAACGTGTTACTTCCCGGAAAGGATAACAGCGCGTGCGTCCCCCACCGCAAACGCCTGCGGTCCGGAGTTTTACAAATATCCCAGCATTTACAAGTTATATTTCGCAACATACCCTGCCATCAAAAAGAATAGACAGTAAATAAAAAGGTAAAGAAGTATTCTTTGTTCGTTCGTGTTCGTTTCATTTTCACCGTTTAATGACGATATTAGTAAATTAGATTTATTTAAGCACGTGATTATCTGGAGAGGAAGCGATAACTTCGCTTAATCGAATGTCCGCACACTTCGTTGTTGCATTTCTCAAAGAATATCGAGGACTTCTTAACCTCGTACCTACGAAGTTAACATTAATAGTTCCTTAATTTAGGATAACAAACTCTGCTTGAGGTGATACGAAATTGTTAATACGTTTCTTTAATTTTTGATGGCTAGCATTTCGCCATAGTCGGCTTCAGATCCTCGGGATTGTTATGCAGCCTTATCGCTATTATGCGAAATACAACCACAACGATGCTGAGATATTCATATTTAGCTGAGAGACAGGCGAAACGAAGGACCCGCATGGTGTGGTTGTGAACGCTTTAGCCCTTGGAAAGGGTAATAGCGCGTTCATTCCCCACCGCAGACACCTGCGTTCTGGGGTTTTACAAATATCTCAGCATCATTGTGGTTGTATTTCGTATAATACCATGCCGTAAAAGTTGTGGTAGGCAGAAAATAGAAGTAAACTTATCGCTATTGTTTGATGCGTATTCTATAGTTTTAATGAAAGGCTAATATGCAAATTTTAATTACCCCGTTTTTTAATTGTCTTACTCTTTAGTCATGTTTATGCTTAATAGTCTTTCGGAGTGGCTATTGTTCTTACGTATGTAATAAAGTGATTTTTGTTGTTGGATATTTTGCAATTCGTTGTTTTACACCTAAAGTTTTGGTTTTAAGAGTGGTCTACTGCCTTTAGATTGATCACTTTCCCATATACCTCTTATGGGAACAGGGCTACTGAGTCTGGTGATACGCGATCGAGTACCGAATAATGCTTTCTGGTGCCTACTTGGATTACTGAATAACAGATTATCTCTGGGTGGTGTAGATGATTTAAACATAAGTTAAACAAATTTAAGAAAAGGATTCAATTGACATGACAGGATTACGGGAAGTGTTTTGAAGTAGAAACTGCGGCATATTTTCGAGCATGCATGGTCCACTACTCTGGTAATTTTGACTAATCATAGTTGCCCTGTCTTCCCGTCTTCCCTCCATCTCTTTCTATCCCTTTTTCCGTCCTTCTTTTTCTATCTACCTATGTCTCCTTCGTGATTGCTTCCTGACAAGCTTTGTTTTCTTACTTACTTGATACTTGAATCGCCCGTCCCCATTGACTGCGGGTCTCAGCATAATCTCCATTTTTCGGAGATTTGCTCATTAAGCCATTATGGTTCCCTGGAATCCCGAAATCAGCCTGGCCAAAGTTTGCCCCGGATCTTCACCACCACAGGCAGTCACGGCTCCTGTGGGTCAGAGGGAGGTTTACCACCATATGCCTTTGATACCAGGACGGTGGAGGATCCTGGTATTGGTTTACGCTTAGCTAGGCTTCCTGGTGGAAACGCCAGACTCCTTCTCAGCTTGGGAGATGCTTTCGAGATTACGAGTCCCTACGCTCTACATCGCAGTCCGACACCCAGGAACATCTCCCAGTCACGATGAGGCAGTAAACCGTTGGGAGGAGCTTTGTTTTCACTACACATAATCCAATTCTGTCGCCGTTTCATCCAACTTTACTACTGCAATAACGCCTATCTTAAAAGCTTTCATCCTTCACTCACTCACTAACCCACTCTAACTTTTCCCCATTATGCTGTATGGCATTATCTACGTTTTCTTCGATGCCTATTTTGGTTCTCTCCTCACTCTGTATGGATCTCTCCCCATCCTTTAGAGTTACTCTATGGCTATTGATCTTACGTGCTTAAGAATAAACGATAAAGCTATTGCCGTTGTTAAATCCTTGAGTGATGCGCCACGCATTAGAATTCAAAAAGCATTAGTAGCTACTGATTGTAAGCTGGTACAAATTTTCCGACCATAGAGGGATGAAAAGCTTAGTGGGCATGGGGTGTTGTATTCAACCTATCTGTACTGCAGGGCGCCCCAACCACTGGGCCACACGAGCCCCTTACAGCATACACGGTGCAGTAACGGTATGTGCTTTATAACATTGTTTTTGGGTGGTCTGGGTAAGAAGCTTTTTTTTAGAAAAAAGTTTCTTCAAATTACTTATAACTAGGAGGAAAATTTCAGAGGAAACGTTCATAATTTAACGTGAATTGTTGCTGATTTTAGAGATGCAGCCTGCAATCACTATTGCGAGTCCAAAACAGTTTATAAAAAAAAAGTTGCAAATCTGAATCTGAAGATTTGCATTCGTCATCCACAAAAGTTTTGGAACTTTTCGGGCGTCGGTTCGCCTGTTGCTTGAGGATTTTCCTTCTTCATGAATGTCATTGAGTGCTGGTCGACTCGATTCTCTTTGGAGTCTTGAGATAACCGGGTAGGAGCATTCTCACTTGGATTACACAGTAGGGCTTTTCTTAGACACTGGTTTCTTGATAAGCAAGCACGAGGTTGTTATTACGGCATTTATTGGTGCACGTATGGTTTCAAGCTACTTTTTCTTTTAATTTTGAGTCGAAAATAAATGTAGGCGTTTAAAAGTGCCCAAGATTGTGATCTAAGCACTTGGTAAAACAGCCAGTGGTGAATTGGAATTTTAGTGGAATATCTAGCTTTTGAACTGCAAGAACAAATACAAGAAGGATCGATTCAAAGAATTCGGTAACGGTAACAGAAATACTATCGGACACTCTAAGACGCCAGCTAGTTCGTAATCTCCTATAGGACCGTCTCTGTACAATTAAAAATTGCATAGTACGGCCTAACGGTAGAGACGTTGACTGCCTGAGTTAGGGTATGGTGTACCTAATCTCTTGCTAAGCGTGTGGGAACGAATACGTTGGCGAACCGAGTACACCGCTCTGCGTCAACTTAAAAGAACACCTAGTCGGCAAATCTAAATAAAAATCAAACAATCCACTAGGCGCACATAGGACAATACCGGAGAAATTTTTGGGATGGGGCCTATTTATAGCATAAAGCGTTCAACGTTGATCAATCCAGTAGAAATACGTTATGCATTCGATTCCACTAGTAGGATCGCAGAAGTGATTGGGTCCACATATGACTTATTACAAAACTCAACAATCACAGTCTACTTCATGAGATTAAGAGCAAGGACATGAAAACACCGAGAATAGTACAAAGGCGAATGTAGTGACCACAATTTTATCTAAAATAGGTAAAAACGTCCTAGGGACATCAGAGCTTTCCATCTTATTCTGCTTACTAGGTGAGAATGTAGGGCGGTGGTTACTGGTGAAGTAGTTACGTAATACAACAGCTAACAAATTGTATATATGAAAGAGTAAGTAAAACATGTGATAAACTTGTGATAATAGGGGAAAACAGTATTCTCTACCACATAGAGAATAGTGTCTATCTGATGACACGTAATATAAAAATNGTGAAGTAGTTACGTAATACAACAGCTAACAAATTGTATATATGAAAGAGTAAGTAAAACATGTGATAAATTTGTGATAATAGGGGAAAACAGTATTCTCTACCAGATAGAGAATAGTGTCTATCTGATGACACGTAATATAAAAATAAATACATTAAATATAGATAAAAATAAACAATGTAAACACTATATATAAATATTATTATACTAATATGATATTACATCACCTGTACCACCTGTCGTCCCATTGATCGTCGAGTGAATCGAGCAGGCGCCAGTAAATCTTCCAATTTTCATTGTCGCGTGCAAGAGTAGCCCAGTGGGTTCTGCTCGCTCTAGGGACTCGTCAAGCATCACATCTGTCTTCTAGGCTCTTCGTGAAGAACTCCGACAATTGGGACGGTGGTCTTCCTGCAGTACGCTTGACATTCCGAGGAATCCAGTCACTAACGGCTCTTGTCCACCGGTTGTCATTCATACGCAGTACGTAGCACCGTTGAGTCGAAAAGGTGGGCACGTAGTCCGGTGTTCTTTGTTCTTTTCACTACATCCTCGATGCTCTTGATAGCTCCACAAGCCGCTCCTTTTCTTCTGCTCAGCTCTGGAGCTAGGTCGTTCATCATATTGGTTTCCCGACCTAGAC